AATATCCAGGAAGGTTCAGGAAGACGCGTTCAAGGAGAAGATGGATATTCAGTTTTTGTAAACAAGATGCATACGAGAGTTTTGCTTCCCGGTCCAATAGCCTGTAACTGTCCAGTTGATGTTTTCTAATAAACAACTCCGCAGCGAAGGCCTTCTTCCTTTCACCAAACCTAGACAGGAGAAGTCGAAATGCAGAGATCAGGTTCGAACCTCGGATCCTCCTGTCATTAAATTCGCGCTCTAATTACTGAGCCACTGCTCTTATAACGATTAAAGCATGGCGAAAGACATAGAACGAGGAATAAAGTCGGGACCCATAGGGGAGATGTGAACCGGAGGAGGCACGACAAAGGTAAAGAAAACTTCGGAGCGACATGAACTAGAAAGATCATGTTTTCACTTCTGTCCGAAGTTGGCTTTCAAACCGCAGTTTTCACATGCATCTAGAGTTCATTCTCGGACTTTCCTCAATGGTTCGTTCTAATATTATTGACAGAATGCTGTGAATTCATCTCACCATTTAGCTTTTTGATATTTTGTTAAATTTGAAAGAGTTGGAATACCTGCCATCTGGAAAACATCGTTCGCCATTACAGTCATAGATTTCCTCATACTAATACGAAGGAGTTGTTTGTCAGTCTCAATTTGCACCGGTGAACAGGGCTGTTTGTGGTGTGTACTTTCATACACGTTTGGAGTCGATCACCTGTTGTTTTGTCGCTATCTGTGACTTCACTGGGCTTTTTACAAGACGTAGAAGTTCTGTGGTAACTAGTCAACTCTCAACAAACGTTCTTTGTGAGGAGTTTGATACGGTTTAGCTTATTTTCCACGATTTATCGAACCTATTACTTCGTGCTTGTTTTGTTACAACAAATTTTCATCCTTTTTCATTTACACTTTTTTGAAGGGGATGAGAGGCTGAAGCGTTTTTGTGTGAACAATTTTGGATTGGACACTGTGCGTGACATTGTGGAAGCTCTCAGTCGACCGTTGGACTTCGATGAACGAGAAGGTGATATCATTTTTTATCAAGATGTGCATCTTGACCTTTGATGGGTTGTTCTTGAACAAGCAACCCAAGTTGACGTACCCTTCTTTTAGAAGGACCTGTTTGCATCGCACGGGATGCTAGTCTTTTTCAGTTTCTCGGGTACCCTAGTGCATAGGTTAGTGAAACCTAGTGTACAGCTGTCTGAACTCGCCAGGGGGGGGGTGTGCTCGATGAGTAGAAAACTCTGTGATGAATCTCTATTTGATGGGTAGTAAAACAACCGTCTTTCGAACAAATCTGACAGTGGTAACTGGTGACAGAAATACATATATCAGGCACGTGCTACGCGTGTTGAGCTATACCAGGTTGTACATAATTGATGGGATCTGGTGCCCAAGATTGGTTGTGGACAACACTCAATCTGTGCATGAAAGGTACCCCACTTGGCAAGATCACCGAACTAGCTATAAAAAAATCTAAGACTAGCAAGCAAATCCGCCGATAAGCGGTAGTTCCTCGTAGCTTCACCAAACTCATTGTACGTCGTAGAAGGAACTCAGAATGAATGAGGTTAATGGTGAGACAAAGGGAAAACTTCTACAGACTGTAACGACCGACGTGCGCAAAAGAAGCTGCTATTGTGTGATGTATGATGTGAAATTTCCCAAATAATGAGCCAGCACATGCATGGAGCGTAATTTCACAGGTTCCGTTGGCGGGAGAACGTTGTATTTAGATCCCTCAATGGTTAATTCGCAAACTTACTGATCGTTAGATCCGAGGTTGCAACCTAACCGTCGACTGCTGCTGTCTAGGTTCGAGTAACCTAGCAGTATCGTAGCCCCCCTTGCTTCCATGACAGCTGTGTTACAGCTGAACGATTGTTTATGTTGACCAGTTGTTTTAATCGTCTGTCTGTGGTAGTCCTAACGACATTTAATACACACTATACGTGACACTAATGGTGTGCCTTGTGAGTGTATATATTCCACAGACGTTAAGGCGCCAATTCTCGTTTGACTTCACAGTTGGCCGATTTACTTTGATGACCTACAATTCCGTACTTCCTGTTTCAGACCACTTCCTCCCGTTGTTTCATTCATCGGCTATGAGTTTGACAGACCTAAAACCCGGTATGCGTGTTAGCGGGCGGGTCGAAAATGTGACCACGTTCGGAGCGTTTTGCGACATAGGCGTCCATCAGGACGCTTACATTCCACGACACTTGTATCCGCGGACAAAACAAGCTGCAACGGACAATGGGCTGTTCACCCTTCGTTTAGGTGATCGGATCTCTGCGGTGGTTGGTCAAGTTCAAGTTGCTCAAGGTCGAATCACGTTAGATCAGGTGACGGTCTTACCGTCGATTGTACAGATTTGATATATATATATAATTATTGTCCATTCGCATTTGCCAATACTATTTTTATACGTTCTGCTTTTTTGTAATTCATTCGGCTTTTTCACATGGTGCGTTCCACTGGGAGAAAATGGTTGGTTGGGTTTTGTATGTCAGAATCTCAAACTGGAAACGTTCGTGGTAGGAAAACCCAGTTGAATTCTATTTTTTATCCGGGGTCCATCAGTTTCCCAATTTAGGGTGGATTGATAACGATCGATAATGGTTCAGCTTTAACACCCCTTCGGTGCCTAGCTGCCGTGCCACCGGAAGGAAGCACGAGGGCTGGGATACTGTCAGTTCGTCCAAGCCTAGACGGGAAGTCGAGAGGCAGAGGTCGGGTTCGAACCACGGACCTTCCGACTTTCTGCTCCAACCACTGAGGCATCTCGCCCCGATGAAAGACCCATTGAGGTTTTAAACAGTTTCATCGTATATCTCTGGTGCTTCTGAGTACAGATTATGAAAGAACGAATACTTGGCCAATGCAAGTCTTCAAATGAGTTAACTCCACTACTTGATAAGTCTCGGCCAAGCCACATTTAAAATCCTGTAGTGTTGCTCTGAGAATATACATCTTTCTACAGAAAACAGCCGTGGGATAAAACACAGTGATGCAAAATGTAACAAAAGATCACGGTTTTCGTTACCAACCGTTACGCTTGATATAAAATGGGAATGTATGATAGGAAAAAGGACTCAAATGGAATATTTAACCTATGGAGCTAATGAGTCAGTATTGGTCACATGATGTTACTGTTTACCTGTTGACGAGGCGTGACTTCTCGCTCGACAAGTTGACGTAGGTAGGTCACGGCTGTGAAACGTGTCCCCTGGAAAAGTGCAGCATGTTTTCCTTAGTATTTCTGTGCCCATTGGGCCCCAATTAACAAGCACACTGATTCTCACCATCCCATTCCATGTAGTTCTGAACAATGGGCATAACGTACAGGAGGCTCGGACACTTACCACTCGTTGTCTGTCTCTGTATACCTTCGGTTATCCGGAACTTCATGCTTGATTGATAGAGGTCGGCGTCCTTCACGTAGCAGGTAATCTAATGGAATGTTGAAATTGAAGAGAGAATCGGCACATTTGTATATGCCTTTCCATCTGGTTTTTGTTTGTCTCACATTCCGCCAAGTAAGCAGGACCTCTTGTGTTTGAGTGCAGCTGAACTAACTGTATCGTCCATCGAGGGGCGTCACATGAACACGGTCTATTTCTACCCGCAGATTCCACGCAATATTTCCCTTGGGACGCACCGTTGACACAAATTCGTGAGATATAGACGCAGTATACTGCTTACTAATGTCAGCTCCCTTATGATTCCTATCAACAGCAGCGTGAAATAACTCTGGTCACTAGTTTTCAAACCGCTTAGCTGGAATAAACTTTAGCTTTGTGAACATGCCATTTCAGTTCCCGATTTCTGGGTTCTCTGATTTGTGAACTATATCCCTTGGTAGTTCGTGTACTCCTGTGTTCAGCATTTTTACGCCATTTTTGAAAACTTCCCGAAATCACTTTCCAGTATGTGAACATGTTCTGTTTGTGGCGCACCAGCAAGGTAATCCCATCGGCTTTGTAGCGACATGGAAGTTGATCATCCAAGTCGCCTTCGGATAGGAGGATTCCTTGGGCTGTTCTGTTTGAATAAGGAGATTAATTTCGAACTCACTACACCATCGTTCAGTTACTCTGTATCTAATCTCAGTTCACGAAGATGTACTTAACTTGCGCGTGTGTCAAAACACCTGCTGTTTCCGTGTGGTTTTGGTCGTAACTGCTTGTATTCTATCCTACTCCCTGCAAAGTCGTACGGACAGTTGTCATTAGGTGAGGGTGTTAGACTAATCACAGACCAATTTCGTAATTATCTCTGACTGATTTGCATTAGGCCATAAAACGGATGGTGCTTGCCGGAAATTCGACATAAGTGCCCAAATATTTGGAATACCAAAGTGACCTAGCGACGTTTGTTTGTGTGGTGGGAAAGGGTTCGGGAGGTATATCGGTGGACACCGAACTGCGCGGGCAAATGATACTTCCCGGTTACCCAGGCCGAGGAAGGGGGTTTGGTTGAGGTACCCCACCTTGAGCCTCTGACTCGAAAGTCTGACCCACGAGGCAGTGGGAGAATGTAGGGTTTTCTTTGGGGACCCTGCCCGGAGCCGATGACTCAATAGCCTGACCTGCTCGGCTGCAGGGGGTTGGCCTAACCCGAGGGCGCAGGGAATAAGGCATTACTGTCTCATTCCTGATGCGGCTGCGCACAGCAGGTGCCTTTTGAGCAGCACTGGGCTCTTTGGTTTTAAAGTATTTCGACCGTATTGGATACTGCGCCGGTGGTCACCGTCAACCGTTGGGCAATCGGAGCGTGCGGTTTTTGGGGCTGACCTTTTCTGGCCCATCCTTCCTCAGGGGAAGGCAGCATCGCTGCTTCCATAAATATGGACATGCTGGTCGCCTGTGGGAAAAACTCTTGTCGCAGAGGACAGTACGACTTTACTCCGAGACCGCCTCATAGCACGATCACTCGTAGTACTTGTATGGACAGCCAAAAACGTCGAATCGATAGACTGGTGGATCCTCCGAGGTCAGGCGTTGCATTTAAAGGAAATTGTAGCATGTTGTCTAGGCGTCACACTACTCATAAGCTTACCGATAGCCCTCGACCGTTCTCAACATTTTTGGGGTTCATAAGATAGGCGCAATCCGCGAGTTTTCCGCAATCTTATGTTGTAATTGAACCCAATTGGATATATTTTGACAACTACTCATTTTCACAGGAATTTGTTTTCGACAGAAGACTCAAATGAATCCAGTGGATCATTATAAACGAGGATTCAGCTGATTGGATATATTTTGACAACTACTCATTTTCACAGGAATTTGTTTTCGACAGAAGACTCAAATGAATCCAGTGGATCATTATAAACGAGAGATTCAGCTGGATTCAGTCAGCCTCTTGACAAAGCCAAATTCGTGTGCAACCCGTATGATGTTGTGCTCTTTTATTCTGGGCCCGTTTCATAGAGTGAAAAGTTAGTGAGATTGACTTGTATGAGGTTGAAATCAGCCGGGTTAGATGTACATCATCTCAATTATTTTGAAAGGTTCATTCAAACAAAAAAGGGAAAAGCAACAAAATCAAACCCCAAACTGCATTACTCTTCAGCTTCAGGTCACTAGTTGCACACAGTAACGAGACCAGCCAGTTTCTGGCGTCTGATAAAAAATCTCAGGTGTGACATGATCGGATTTAACGAGCCAGACGGTGTACCAATACCTTCGTTTCAACGTAGCCCCACACCATGCTGTTGTTGTGCAGGCCCGTTTCGTTTTTCTCGGAGCTGCAGAATCCCAGGGGCTAGTCTGATGAAGCGAAGTCACATGTGACACTGCCTGTATCCATATTGGTTTTTCCTCTAAAGGGAAGCTGTATTGAATGACAATCCGTGCAAGCCCATCCGGATTCCCAGACACCGAAATCCTAGTCACAGCGGTATTATGAGTCTGATGCAACCGGGTCGTGATTTCTGTGTTCAAAAACGGTGACCCTGTCACACTGATGGGGACGATAATTGTGGCTGAAACGGGGTTCCTTTTTATCGAAACTAACAGGTAGCCGGAACGGACTTTGTACTTTTCATCCGCTTTACACGGTCATTACGAAGATCAGTTGGTTTCAAGAGAACCCGTTTTATTTCAACCACCGGATTTTACCTGGACTTTTCAACCACGAATCCCGTAATTTCAGTTCAAAAACATTGGAGCCGTATTGGATAAGTGACCTTCGGTTGCTACAGTTTAGTTTCCAAGCACTTTCAGGATACTCGCACTTGGAAACAATAAAATGCAAGATGACCGTGACAAAAGAATATGACCGCCTTGATTTTCGAACTCTGCTTGGTCGAGGATGGATCAGCGCCAAGTTTAGAGTAACACAATAACCAAAAACGGCTGAATAATGAAATAAATGATTCGTTTTGGCGTCTTTGTTGCTCATCGATTTGTCTCGGTCCGTGTGTCCTCATTGAGTCATTGACATTTCGAGATTTATTACCGAACTGTGACAAAACGCATCTATTATGACCATGTGGTTGTCCGAACACATCAATACATACTGAATGAAAAGAAAAAAAACTGCGTCAAGGCAGCTAGAATGTGTTACATTTCTTCATTTGCCCGCACTTCAAACATGGATTGTTTACGACCGTCTTCTATGCAAATTTAAACAGGATAGCCAGAAGGACTAAGTGAACGCTGTTCACCATTTCGCGGTGAAGTGCACTCAAACCTCTTAAAGCTTTAACACTTCTCAAATTAAACTATTGCCTTCCTGACCGATTAGATATTTGAACCGTTTGAATGTTTTCTTTAGAAGGAAAAGTGAGTTTTTTTTAGAACTGGCAAGGTGTACCCGACTTTTGGCCCTGCATAGCTTTTCTGCGTTATGGTGAGTACGGCCGGACGTTCGCATCACGTGGCTCGTCAAGGCAAAGCACGATGATAAAAAAGACTCGTGGTAGTCATATGACCAATCGATTAGATCCGAAGTGGATGTCAGTGAATTTGTTACACCAGTGGAATTTCCCTCTATGAAAAAAGGAATACTTGTTACCGCGGTTAAGGTCACATAAAGCAGAGAAACGGATGAGTAGGTAGCTACGCAAGTGAAATTTTCGTTTTTTGTTGTCAAACTGACAAGGAATTCAAAGAACGAGTCATCCGATGTGCGGCTCAGTCCTGCAAGCCGCAGTAGATGATGATGCATGTTCTATTTTTAGTAGGTTTGTGAGAGTTGCACCATGTTTGCCGTAGTTTCTGGAAGCAACCTTGTGCCACTGGTCGTGACAGTGCTCAGTTCTAGAGTGAAACGTTCCACTTGAAGTCCAAACAAAGCACACTAATCGTATTCGCATCTGCTGAACTTCGTTGTTGTGTGTTTGCACGATCCAATACAAAGAGGATCCAGTCAGTCCGTTGCTGGCACACATAACTAATTCGACACGAATCACGGAACAGAAGTTCGACATGGTTGGTCTGCACTTCTGATCGATCGAGTGTACTGGTACACAGTACGGTACGATTTGCGTTTGTATCGAGATGGTTTCGATAGACCAGTTGGTGGATCACTGAAGTGATTTAAAATCCGTTCGGTTCATCAAAGTCATTTCATCTGCGCCGACCAGAACTTTAATCCAAGTTTTCGAGAAATACACTCATTTGTTAATCAATTTGGTTTTCAACTGAATCTCTCGTTTATGATATTCTACTATTGAATATGCTGCACATAGACCGCTTTATGTTTCAGTTGGCACGGTATTCGAGATATCGCAGTATATTTTTTGATAAAGGAAACTACTCACAAGGTTGCTGAAAACTCTTCGACAGCCCACGACCGGTTTCGCCCTTCTTGGGGCTCATCAGATAGGCGCAGTCCCCGAGTTTCTGTAAACCCTATGTTCTACTTGAGCCCAAATTGAACTGTTTTCGAAGAGTTTTCAGCAACCTTGTAAGTAGTTTCCTTCATGAAAACATGCTGCGATATCTTGAATATCATGCCAACTGAATCATTAGGCGGCCTGTGTGCAGCTTATTCAGTTGTAGGATATCATAAAGAAGAGATTCGGTTGAGTCTTTGGTGAAAACCAAATTGATTTGCAAATGAGGGTATTTCTCAAAATCAGTCCAATTTGGGTTCAAGTAGATTATAAGGTTTACGGAAACTCGGTGACTTTGCCTACCCGATGAGTCCCAAGAAGGGTGAAACCGGTTGCGGGCTGTCGAAGAGCTTTCATCAGCCTCGTGAGTAGTTTCCTTTATGAGATTTTAATCCGAGTTCTCTTTTTTCAGTGAACAAAAAAGTTTAATGAGGGACGCACTATCAAAGTGACCTCATGAGTTCAATGATTTGTTTTCCTAAACACTTAAAGAATATGGCAAAGCCCTCTAGGTCAATGACCAGTGCGAATTATGACCAGTCATAAAATGCTTATGGACACAATGCCGGGCTTAGATGATCACTCAATAAATGCATTTATCCAAGACGTAAACTCGAACTATGCTATTCTAAAATTGGTCGAACTAAGCGTTGTACGATTGAATTAGTTCCAGTGCCATGACAGTGTTACTGGTCGGAAACCCACGTGGACCGGTTTTGGATTTCTGTTCTGATTTTACAGTGAATTAAATTGTTCGATACTGAGGGGAGTTTGGCGAAATCTTTCTTGTCATGTTGAAACACAATGTACTCTTGATCCTCTCGGACAGTGGCACTGGCTATAACGACTTCAGCGACATGAATGGCTCTGAAATTTGCAAAAATGTGTCAGAACTAACAATCCGTAGAAAAGCAGTCGCTCAAAAACCGAACTAAGACAAAAGAAAGATAACGGAGAGCTGTCGGTGTGTCGAAACATCGGCAGTTCGGGTGCGCTAACAGGAGGTTCATCAGACTCCCGATAATTTGTTCGTCGAGCTAGAAAACTAGCGTGAAAACGTTGACCAAACCGAAATCATTACCTGTGTTCGTCGAACTTCAAACTAAGGAGGCGACTGAAACTCTGTCCAATGGCTTCAAACCTGAGGATTTTTCCGATCAGCTGACTGGATCACCTTGTCCATTTGAGGACCCAAGCACTGTCACTCATGATGCGCACCATATGCGCACAATCTGCCAATATTACTGTGGAAATAATGGCTACTAAAAGTACGCTTCAGTGAGTTCTTACCAGTAAATGATTACCTGTGCTACCGATTCTCGGTCAAATTTGAACGCAGTGTTCTAAAACCCTTATGAGATCGGCCTGAGTTCACAGGCGTAGGTTGAGCATTCAACTAGACTATTACTTCATCAGAATATGTGGTCCAACACAATTCACCCTCACTAGTTTACCAAGAGCTGAGTAGGCTTCGTTCGTCCACCTGACTCGACCTTTGGTATTGCAAATATCTTCTGGGAGTGCTTTGCATTCTTCGTTATTTGTGACCGGATGCTCACTGCCTGTTTGACATGAAAGTTGCTTGTGTCAGTCTCTCCAAGTTCAGGTTTGACATATCACATCAGCTCATTTACAGCGGATGTTGCCAAAAGTTTTCTTCTCTAGGACGAATTCAGTCACGTTATCACAATCACAGTTGCAGGGTATGAGTAAAATGATGGCGTGACATTTGCGCTTGTGTTCTAGGGTTTTGAGTTCCCTGATAGAACTTTGAGTCACGCGTAGGTTTGACTATCCCTCAGTTGTCCGCATGCATGGCATCAACAGGTACGCAAGTCTGTCTTCCAGGTGCCATGCAGTATCAAGATCCGCACACCAACCAACGACTACCGGAATGTTGGCTCTGTAGTGTGGGTTGCGGTCGTCCCTTCCGAGGCCAGTCTCGTTACTCCGACCAGCGATGCGATCACAAAGAAAGCATGAGAAAACGAGTCAAGGCAGGCTCAGCAAACGGGACAGGAACGAGGGTGGATCAACTGGTCAGCTTAGCACATTCACACATGCCAATACTCAAATGTCATCCGGGACGGCCTTTGTGGCAAGGCCGAGTAGAGATGAGCAAAGTAAGTGAAGCACAAACAAATGAGTTGGGGAAGTGACAATCAATACCCAACCACTTCTAAATTTCAGTCGCCCCGGCGGTAACTGGGCCCAAAATAACGTCCTGTTTCTCATTATATACCATAAATTGAACACAAATTGGAGATTCAATTTCCAAGGAAACAAACAACTCTTTGCTATCAAAGGACTTGGTTACCTGGACGAAATTCATTGATGACGTCCAGTTTGTCGTGAAGATTTCAGTCAGCCACCATGACAACAAACTAATGCATTTGTTGTGGAGGCATGTCGCGTTGTCACCGAGATGCTTTTGCTCCCCAAAAAACGACATAGGTTGAAATTGCAAGTGTTAAGATGGAGGGCTGAATACGCCCCGTTGTGCCATAGACCAATCTGGATAAAGGTTGAAACACGCAAACTGGGATGCGCACGATATATCTTGTGTCTTACGGGTGTGCAGTTGAGCATGACTGTCAGAGAGAAAAAACGGTAAACTTGACTTTTATGGCTGTTCAAGGGGAATCGAGACACTGGCCATTCTAGTGTTACCTAAAAGTGCGGCCATTTTCCCCTTGTTCAAAAAACTCCTAAAACTACGCCCCAGTCTAGAATAATCAAAATCTCAAGATTCAGTAAGTCAGTAGTCTGCTTTCATTAAGAGCAACTTGGTTTCACGTCGCCCCAGCATGTCAGTCGGTACACCAACACAGTCTCTACTGCCTGCCCACGCATGGTGAATCTTTTGTGGTCATTGAAGGACGATACCCGAAAAAGTAACTGCTGTAATCAGCAGCACTCAACAAGTTGGAACTTGCTTTATTCATAACGAGTCCATCTACAAATGAAATGCAGTCCACTATAACTAACATATAATAAGAGAGGACTCTGCGCTTTCTATCCACTTCACACAGCTGGCACAAAAGTCAGTTGGATTCACGAGAGTCCAAACTAACCAGTGTGATTTATTCATTAAAAACGTGCCAAGTGACTGGATTTTGCTAAAAGCTTTCAAGCATGGGTTCCGCTTGGGACCACCAGCGCAGTAAAAGCAAAAATATTTGGCTGCCACATCTTCAGATTCCCTACAGAATTCACGCGACGGAGAGTAAAGTTCGCGAGATGGATATGACAAGGTTATGTGGCTATCCTACTTTTCGGCTGTAGATTGGCTAGGGATGGCAATTGTAAGTATTCGTGTAAACAAAATATAGTCAATGACGAGAAATTAAGCTGACTGTATGACTGTGATCAGCTGATTTGTCTCATTCTATGCGCCTCTTTGTGAAAGTGCAGCAATTCCTATAGTTTTCACGGTCTTTATGGCCTCTTGTGGCGAGATACACCTGGTGGGAGTGTTTGAATAAACTTGGATGTGTTGATTGCAACTAAGCGGTGCACTTCACTCTGGTCAACAATAGTAAGGTGGTTATTCGTAATGCACTACTCATTAGGTTGCTGAAAATTCGTCGACAGCCCACGACAGGTTTCGCCCTTCTTGGGGCTCATCGGGTAGGCGCAGTAAGGTGTATTCCCTCGTGGAGGCGTGCTTCATTCACCGCTCACTTACGATGGTTCTCTGCACAGATCTACTGAAATGTAAAACAGGATTCGATCATCGAAAATCACTCTCATCTGCACACACACTTGTTTTTATTTACAGGAGGCTCAACCCAATCGAGTTGAATCTCTGGTTTCAGATGGTTCACTACTTGATGAGCACCTAGAAAGGCGAAACGGGCCGTAGGCTCTCGAGGAGTTTTCAGCAACCTTACGAGTAGTGTGTTACGTCTTTGCAAAGGATTTGGTTGGGAATTTATATCAGCTACCCGGCATAGCTCATTTCCTCGGAGAAAACGTAGACTGGCTTATAGCTCCCAATCCCGCCTGTGTCTGCTAGATTTTCAAGGGGGACATGAAACCGTTTTCTCTTCATCTTTAAAGGAAGAGAATAGGATACACTTTCGAAGACCCGGATTTCGTCCAAATTTTAACCGGACTGTAACTTTGTGCGTCATACAAGGCTGGAGTACATGTGGCCGAAAATTCGCAGCCAACTGCTGTGACAGATATGACAGAAATGTCCTAATCGACGTTACATTAATCACTTGATAGGCTCATTCTTTGTTGTCATGATATTGCTCCCTGAAGTTCAAGGTAAATCAAGGTTATATTGGTCTAAAAAGCATTTTGCTTTACAATGACCAAAGGATATTGGTGTGTGTGTATGTATACAGATAAACGGAATGATATGACATATATGTTCTATTGTTTGTAATCTGCATCTCAAATGTTGGTGAGGGAAGTTGGGTGAGATCTTATGTATTCGTCAAGCGAATGTTTGAAAGTCTCGAGATTACCACAATCCACAACAGATGTTGGTAGTTTGTTCCACGTGAGGGATACGCGGACTGAAAAAAAGTAGCGCCGACAGTTAATGCGGGAACATGGAATGTTGAAAGCTACATCGATGCAATTCCCCATCGTGAAAAATAACAGGCCAGGTGAATACCGCAGGTTATGAGTAAAATGATGGCGTGACAGTTGCGCTTGTGTTCTAGGGTATTGAGTTCCCTGATAGAACTTTGAGTCACGCAGATTTTTGCTGACCAGAATGAACCTTGGGTGGTATATGCAGTGAACTAGGTCATCTCCTTCAGACGGAAGAGTAAACTCGTGCTCAGCTGTAAGAGGACTCAGCGGCAAAATCGACACGTTTCTTCGTGGGCGACTACATTGTATCCTAGCTGAACCTCTCGTTTGTGGTATTCACTCGAATCGCGTACGATCTGTCGTCTAACTAGGTTGACCAAAACTGTGCCAGATTCACGAGGCATATGAATGACGAAACCGGTGGGGCTCTGTTGAAGAATTTTCGGCAACCCTATGAGTACTGGAAATTTTACTTTTTATTCTCCAGTGAACCTTGATAATTACTGATAACATAGTAATGCTGGGATTGGGATGTCGCGTGATTACACCTAATCCGTAGGGAACACAAACTCCGGGCTGCTGCGAAGTTGCCATAGCCTGAATGTGAGTACTATGAGTGCAGTGTAGACGGACCAACCGATCGAAAAAATCGGATCGTTAAACTTCTACTAATTTCTACTTGAAAATGTGTTTTTAAGCGAAAACTAGTTGCTATCGACCCACCAGAAGTCAACCAGAGTCGAAATCCCGAGTGTGGATACAAAGTTGCCGGTGTCACTGGTCGCTTTAATACGCTTGGGTGCATCCAAGGGTGCTTCGAATTCAGGCAGGCAGGCAGGCAGGCAGGCAGGCAGGCAGGCAGGCAGGCAGGCAGGCAATTTCGTGGCACTTGCTTAAACGTGAAGAGCTCAATTTTCCTGAAATGTTGGATCATTTAATTAAATCTGCCGAGAAATATATATGCACTACTGCACACTTACGAAGTCACCCAATGTAGGAACATTGACGGGGAGTCTCGTAACAACATGCAGTAACGACATTTCCAATCTGAACGGGTGTTAACATCTCTCCATCAGTGATTACCCATTCTCTAATTGTGATCTCATCTAATGGTGGACTGTATAGACTAAGAACGCATGGGTCTGAGATCCCGCTAATCTTTAGAATTGTTGAAAATATCGACAGTCCGAAATGGAAAAAACTCGGTGCAAATAAAGCAGTCTTGGTCTGTTGATATGCAGATGTTCGTGCTCTCAAACAGAATCCACTTTTGACAGCTTGAAAATGGCCCATCCGCTCTCTTCGGACCCAGCATTACCTTACTAGGCTATGATGAATAACAAGAGAAGCATTTTTGCGTCTGTGGTGTTTTGTACCTTTATTTTGCTTCCATTATAACGTTACGCATTTTGTCAATTGCATAACCGTTTTTTGTTTGAATACGAAAAATTACAAGAACGCGCCTTTGTACAATTTCACGCAATTCAGACGTGGTCACGTGCTTCGACTCTCT